TTTTTACTTTTTTGAGACATGGTCTCACTGTGTAGTTGAGGCTGGTCTTGAACTCACTATGTGACCCAAGCTGTCCTTGAAGTCACAACAATCCTCCTGCCTCAGTCTCCCAAGTGCTGGGATTACAGGCGTGCACCACCATGCCCAACTGGAATCATATTTTATGTAGGGTTCTAAGTTACAATTTTTTCATTTAGCAGTGTTTTAGAGATGTTTTTATGCCATTTATATAGGCCTTTGTTTTCTCAGTAGCCACGTGATCCTGGCAGTTCTCACTTTGTTTTTTGTTTGTTTTTGTGTTAAGGAGTATTGAACCTATAGCCTTCACACTGAGCTATATCCTCAACCTGTTGTATTTTTTATTTTGAGGCAGGATCTTTCTAAATTGCTAAATTGCCCAGGCTGGACTTCAACTTGTGATCCTTCTGTAATCTCAGAACGCTGGGATTATAGGCATGTACCACCATGCCTAGCCATTGTTCTCACTTTCTGATATATACAAATTTCACTTACCACAGTTTAGTAAAACAATATCAGTCCTTCAGCAACCTGCTTCAAATTCTAGTTATAGAAGTATAATATATAATTGCATAAAGTGTAAACTTTCCTGCTAGCTATTCATTCTACACATCATATTGCAAATATCATCATGATCCTTATAGTCATCAGTGACCAATCATGTCAGTTTTCTCAATGCCTATCAGTGACGATTACTGCAGGTCTGTTACTCAGTTATTCAATGATGCTGAGCCAGGAATGGTGACAGAGTCTTATAATCCCAGCACTTTGGGAAGCTGAGGTGGGGGGATCTTAAGTGCAAGCCCAGCCTGGGCAGTGTAGCAAAAACCTGACTGAAAAAATACACACATACATAAATAGACTGGGGATATGGCCCCATATGATGGTCCTAGGTTTGATCCCTAGTACTATACCTAGACGCCCCCCATCAAAAAATTGTGTGGTGCCTCCTTCTTTTGCAGCTGTAAACCCAGCTGACATTTTATAAATAATAGATGACTGAGCCATGCACAGTGAGGCATACCTGTAGTCCAGCTATTTGGGAGGCTGAAGCTGGAAGATCACTTGAGCCCAAGGGTTTGAGGTAGGAGACCTTGTCCTAAAACAAACAAACAAATGAATGATTAAAACAGGGAATGAGAGAATTAGCCAGCAAAAGTGAAAGTGCAGCAAAGAAATGAAAAATAGTAACACTGCAAACTGGAAGTAAAATTCAAATGCAATGTTAATGCAGTCACAGAAGTGCTGAACTCCCTGGGTTATGGGAGTGCTGTCATGGTTATCTTCTGACTGTGGGTAGGTATGCAGCCAGGGGAGCATAGTGCAGATGACCTGATTGCCATAACTCAGCAAGGTGGCTGCAGCAAGAAGGATGGAGATGGCCCAGAGGTGGTGGTACTGGAAAGCCCTTTGTGTTAAAGGCCTCTTGAGGTTATTCCACATTGAAAAGTCTAAAGCAGGAAGTGTGGAAGCTCATTTCACCTAAAAGAGTACGCCAACTCTGTAAGGCAGAGAAAAGACACATTCTTCATATAGGAGAAAATAAGCATTATTCAAATTGCTCTTGAGGTTTTACCAAAAGAAAGTTTTTTTTTTTCTTTTTTTTTGAAACAGGGTCTTGCTATGTAGTATGTGCTGGCCTTAAACTTGCTTATATAGCCCAGGCTGGCCTCGAACTCACAGTAATCCTCCTGCCTCAGCCTCCCAAGTGCTGGGATTACAGGTATACACCACCACACCTGGCAGGAAAGTTTGAAAAGAACCGTTCATTCTCAATCTTTTTCATTTTTAAAAATAACATTTAAATTAGTTTTTTCAATTTCTCTGTTCATTTAGAACTGATAGTAACAGTTTTTAGTATGACCAAAATCTTAAAGATCACAGAACAATCAGAATTTCTTGGTGTTAGTCATTAAGATCATTCTACAAAGTTAGTTTGCAAGGTTGTCTTATTTTGTTTTATGGTACTGGGATTGAGCCAGTGGCCTCTACACTGAGCTACCTCTCCAGCCCTCTTAAAAACATTATTATTTATTTCATTTAAAACATTTTTTTGCATTAGTAGAGATTGAACTTAGGGCCTTTGCACTGAACTACGTCCCTAGACCTTTTTTTTTTTTTTTTGAGACAGAATCTCACTAAATTGTCCAGATTGGGCTTAATTTTGTGATTCTCCTCCTCAGCCTCGCAGAGGACTAGGATTACAGGCATGAGCCACTGTGCCTGGCTTACACAGTCATGTTTATGGTTCTGCACTACTGTGTGAAGCAAGAATTGTATGTATTCACTGTGTGCCTGTATCACTTACGTAATTGCTCATCTACTGATAGGTTGGTTTCAGATTTTCAATATTACTGCTGGAGTACACTTTTTTTTAGACCTGAATAATGCATAGGTATAACTGTTTATGGAATATACTGAATCAGAGGCTATGTATAGAGCTGTGTGTGGTGCCACACACAATTCCAGCACTTAGGAGGCTGAGGTAGGGGAATCACAAGTTTGAGCCCAGCCTGATGGTACAGCAGCAGTCACCATCACCACCACCACACCACCACCACAACAAGCCATGTGTAGTTAGAATTCTCATAGATGTTTCCCTTCTAAAACAACTTTCTTGCTGGGTGTAGTGGTGTACACCTGTAATCCCAACACTTGGGAGGCTGAGGCAGGAGGATTGCTGTGAGTTTGAGGCAGCCTGGGCTACATAAGCGAGTTCAAGGCCAAACTGCAGTGAGACCTTGTCTCAAAAAGCAAAACAAAACAAAAAATAAATAAAACAACTTTCTTGTTTTATATTCTTTTATAAGTGTATGAAGTACTAAAGTGTCCTTCACTTGGATTTTTACTAATACTTATTATATACATGATCTTTTAATTTTTGCCAGTCTAACAGGGAAAATT